TATTGGATTCTTTATAAAGCAAGATCAGCATAAAAATTTTCGGCAAGTGGCGCAGCACGTGATGTCTTTAGATGATTTGCACCATATATAAAATTTTCCAAATTCGAAACATGTAATTTTGGGTGATAATAAACCTTCAATATAAATGTTTTTGTAAAATTTAAAATTAATGAATTGTAAATTTGACTTTATTAATTTATTGTGTAATAGTAAAGAATCATAACAAAAAATCAATCCATTTATTCATTTACATTGTTTCAATAGCAGAGGATCAAATCCTATTACAAATAACATACTTTTTCAAAATTTGCATTTTAAAACAATTTAGTTGATATTCCTTTATATAAAATATAATTAATGAATGTAATAAAAATCACCATCAATCCTTTTCCTTTATTATAAGTAAATAATAAATAATCTTATTAGTAATAATTAATGAATAGTAACTTCCAATTAATGAAATTTTTATTCACCTTATTAATATCAACATTTAAGAAAAACTGTTAAAATCGAGATCATTTAATGAACTATTATAACTTGTATACCTTTTCAAGCTTTTTGATTTAGCAATCTCATCATCTAAAATTCTACTTGTGTGATATGCATCTGGATGTGATTTGTGTACTTGTTGTAAAACACTGCTACCACCACCACTGCTGCTGCCATCATTATTAAAATCAATTTCACACTCATCACCTGTAAAATATTTTTTATATTTATTTTTACTAAATTCATAAAGCTCTATACTAGTTGGTCTTTTTAATGGATCCACATCCCAACATTTCTGCATCATTTGTACATAATCATCAGGGATTCCAGGTAATATTGGTGGTCGTAAACCTTCACATATATCAAGAATTAAATGATGGTTGTGAGCTCTATCATCAAATGGTGGATGACCTGAAAATACTTCCCACATTAACATTCCAACACTATAAATATCTGTTTCTTTTGTATACATTGTATTAATTTTGCCTCTAAGTAGCTCAGGTGCAACATATGGCATAATTCCATAAATTTTATTTGATAATTTTTCATTAACTGGTCCACATAATCCTAAATCTGTAATAAAACAATAACCTTTATTTATTAACACATTACCACTATGTAAATCACAATGGATCAAATCTCTTTTGTGTATATGATATAATGCAGCACACAAATATCCAATGATTATAATTCTGTTATTTAATGTTAAGTTCAAATGATTTTTTTGCAAATAATCTCTTAAATTTCCTTCTGAATGATAATTTAAAATCATTGCATAATTTCCATTATCTGTAAATTTAGTTATACCATAGCAATTAACAATCAATATTGATTTAATTTACAATAATCCAATATCTGAAATTATTGTATTCAATAATATAATATCTATTTGCATTTACTACCAAACCCTCCTTTTGACAAATATCTGGTATAGATCCCCTTTTTTTTTTAATCAATATTAGATAAAAATAAACAACTAATAAAGATAACTATTAATAAAAATTAATTGTAAATACTAAAATGATAGATATGTTTAATCGTTCATTGACAATTTACCAATAATTTCTAAATTTTATGATTATGGAAATTTCCAACTGTACACACATATCAAGTAATAACTATATTAATATGATATAATTAACTTGATTTATAATTTTAATGGCCTTTAAAATATTTAAAGAGTTAGCATTTTATGATTTAAAATTCATTTGCCTGGAAAGTGCGCATTAGATTGGGTATGGGATTTCGCTTCCGAGTTTAAGAGATAGTAGAACCAACAATCTACCTGATAAAGCCATTTTTTAATAATGATACACATGAACGAATTCAGCAACGCAAAATAATCTTTCTTTTAAAAATTAAATTTTATGTAAATAAAGCAATAAAATGGAGGTTAATATTATATTGTGTATGGGGTATGCTATAGCAAAGTGAACATAAAGCCCGCAAGTTAGTTTCAATGAAAAGAAAATGATTGGCCAATGATAATTGAAAATGGTTAATAGTAATCTTTTCAGGAATGAAATATCTGCAACGAACTGCAAGGTGTATTTTCTGGTCAACTTTTTTTTTTTTTGTCATTTTAATTATATGTGTTGAATGAGAAACTTTGTAGCTTGACATTTTTACTTATCATTAATTTCCAACGCTGCTGTGAAACAAACATTTTTGTTTTTCATTTTTATCCGAACGGTTTATATGACAAATTATTATTATAACTTAAAATATAAACAAAAAAAGAATAAATTTAATAATGCCTTCTGAATCTACTGAATTAATGAAACGTCTTGTAAAAGAGGCTTCGCAAGTTAGATTCATACCTAGTGCGACCTTAACAACACATTATCGTTTTGCTAATTCTTTGTTAACACAGGTAATTTTAATGTCAAAAAGCAAAATAAAATTTTTATCCAATTATATACTTAATATAATACTACTTATTTACATAGGCAAAACATTATAAAAAAGAAAACGATCTTATTAATGCGTATAAATTCTACAGGCGATATGTCACGTAGGTTATTTTAATTTTAAACTTTTTTGATTTTATATCAATATTAATAATACATACAAATACATAAAGGCTAGTTTTAGAAAAATTACCTGAACATCCAGAATATGGAAATCCAGAACACAAGTTAGAAAAACAAGAACTAGTAAAAGTAAAGAGAAAAAAACAAAATTAATATTTGACTTTGTTATTTTCAAAAAATTGATAACTCAAATTTTTTGTGTATAATTACTATGAATGATAGAATGCTAATTTAGCCTTGATAGAGATGCAAAATATGGAACCAATTTTAGATAGTTATTTTCGCCGTGTGGAAGCGGGAGAAGCATTGAAGAAAGAACAAGCAACGAGCTGTTTAAATGTTCCTAAAACATCAGAACATTATAAAAGAAAGCAACAAATACAAAAACAGGATCAAGGGGATCAGGATCAGGAGTGTTTCAATATTTCAAGAAATATTGAGAATATTTATCAGCATGAAACTACACATAATGAAATTTACAAATCTTATCCAACAAATTGGGGTTTAGTCAATGAATCAAAAGACATTGTCCCAAGTTCTTATTCAACAGATTCTTCGTAAGATATCATTCATTATATTTAAACTATTGTTGTTACTTATTTTGTTTAAATGATATATGAATATTGATATGAATACATCTTATACAGATTAAGCGTCTCTGATCAAAAACCACATCATAATTCACATATTCGTTACGAAGTACTTATTGTCATTTTATTATTATTTTATTATTATTTGATGATTTTTTATGAATATTTATTCCCTTTGAATTTACCAAAAGATTTTTATTGTTATATTGAAAGCATTATGACACAAATCAAAATGATGGGTAAAAATCAAAAAATCAAGAATTACATATATATTCGAATATACATATTGTAGATATATTTATCCTGCTTCCACTTTCGATAATGCTCCTCCATTAATACCACCAAAAATTAAAGACTCACCGCCTAAATTACCACCTAAACCAAATGAATATCTATATGATGCATCACCATCACATTCACCACGCAGATCTTCAAAAATATCAATCTCTAAATCTAGAAATGAACATAGTTCTTATAAAGATTTATCAAAAACATCAATATCTAAGTCCAGAAATGAACACAGTTCTTATGAAGTTTTATCAAAAATACCGAATGTACCT